GCTATCAGATGTGTTACGCAGTAACCGGAGAGAATTAAGAACAGCAGAGAGGAAGTGGAAGAAATCGCAACTCGACACAGATCTTGTCTCTTACCGTGCTCTCCTGTCCAAATTTTCATCTGAAGTGACTTCTGCTAAGACTGTCTTCTACAAAGAAAAGCTGGAATCCTCTGCACAAGATCCTCGCAAGCTCCACAACGTCTTTTCTTCACTACTCAAACCACCAGATCCTCCTGCTCCATCCTCCCTGACTGCTGAAGACTTTGCTGCTTTTTATGACGAGAAGATTGGAAAAATCTGCCAGACATTCACTTCTACTCCTACACTACACACTGAGGACTCTCCTTCTGATTCGCTAACACAGTTTTCTAAACTAACAACAGAAGAAATCCTGCAAATCATCTTATCCTGCAATCCTACCACCTGCCCATTGGATCCAATCCCTTCCACAATGCTCCAGACCATCTCTCAAGACCTTCTCCCATTCATCACCACTATCGTCAATGGCTCCCTAACATCTGGTCATGTACCAACCTCATTCAAGAGAGCAAGGGTTATGCCCATCCTGAAGAAACCCTCTCTAGATCCCTCTGACATCAGCAACTACAGACCGGTATCACTTCTCTCTTTTCTTTCTAAAACCCTTGAACGTACTGTCTATAATCAGCTGTCTCTCTGTCTTCAGCAGCGTTTGACACAGTGAACCACAAGACTCTCTTGTCCACCCTAGGACATGCCATGCTGCACCACGAATTCCTAGCTTGAGCCTTGTCCTCTGAAAAAGTTCTAGCCCAGATGTCAGAACCTAGTCACAACAGTGACAGCCCACCACTTGTCTCTGAGTTTCAATGTGTCTTTATCACCTCAACGAGGAACAAAAATGCACTGCCAACTCTGTGCTATGATGCTGTTTACTCCCTTGCATGGGACCTTGTGGTGCAGCGGTAGTGCGTCTGACTCCAGAGGGCATGGTTGCGTGTTCAAATCTTGTCAAGGACTAGATTGTTCACATGCAAGTGTGTGAGGCTCTTATATGGACTCAAATCGTTATGATAAGCATCTTTGTTGACCTCATGCTAAAAGGTAACATTACTCAAGTAACAACTCTTTCACCTAATTACCAGTAGTACCTTAGCATCCTATTGTAATATGTTTCCAAGGTTTGTCCAGTGTGCTTGCTGAAAAAAAAATGCCTGAAAATAAAATAAGATGTTTTCAGTGGACATGTCAAACAATGTCCTGGATTAAGAATGTTTGAATCGTAGAGTTGTCTGTTTACGTACCGTGTTTGCATTTTTTCAAACAAGAAGACTTTTGACCATCCCATCACAGAGTCCCTGTTTTCACTCTGCCCACAATGTACATCTTCTTAAACCATTACAAGACAAGAGCAACTCTCCCCCTGTCTTTGT